TATCAACTTTAGATTATGGAAAATAACTAGTTACAATTCAGTATGCTTCAAATTATTAAGTTAAATTATGTCTACTCTATTCGAGCTTGGAAGTATAATTATTTGTTTTTATACATTATGTTTCATTATATGAAACATGACACTATTCTTCTGTGTTTGAATTCTTTGTATGTACTTGAAATTTCGCATATTGTTTCCTATTTATAAGGAAGTTGAAGAAAATATCATGTTCAGTAACCTCTAAACCATTACATCTAATTCAATCAATGTGCATATGAAGTCTTTAAGTATGAAGAATACCAGACACTTACCTCTGTAAAAAACATGATAATCCCCTTTCTCGCCGACATGTGGCTGACCTCATTTCACAGGGGGCAATGACCGCTTACCTCCGTAGGAAACGGATCCGGTGTGACTCACACTGACTGGGGTCAATGACTGCGTACCCCGTGGGAAACACATGAGGTGAGGTGAAATTGGGTATAACGTCGTACTTGAGAACATTTCGCTCATATGACGACGTGCATTGCGTGTGTATGTGTTTGTTCGTACTAGCCCAGACTGAGGCTGGTTTTATAGTGCTAGCCCACTGAGATACCATGCCGCAGTGAAGCATGAATACCCTACTCAGACACATTATACTGACTCCGAGCCGACCAGTCCTTGTTGTACCCATTAATGCCGAGCGCCAGGCAGGGACCAACAAGTACCATATTTTAACGTCTTTTGATATGACGCGGTCGGGGATCTAACCCGCGACCTCCCGCTCTCCGGGCGGACGCTCTAACCACTACACCACGGAGGCGGTTGGGAACCAGACACATCATAGCATCACACCATGACATCACGCGTTTATTTTGGACCAATCAGCGCAGAGCAACTATCAAACTCACTTGACCACAAACTAGTTTCATCCGGTTTCAATTTTAACTATAAAAACCCATTTATTCAACACCCTGCATCACTTGCCGACTCCACTTTGAGGTGGCTTCACGACCAACGAAACCATTTGAGCTCAAGAGTACAAGTGCCTTCAACAAGTTCAACAAACGAAAAGGTAGGTTTATATACTTTACATCTAGACAAGATGTTAAACACAGTAAACCTTGGCTGGTACGTGGAGATAAACCATATGTAATGTTATGGCTCACAGTATGAAGTATGTATGATCCCTTGTCCCTTGAGTATTCCTCGGTGTAATCATATATTACTCGTATTGTGGATGCATCATGTGTAAAATATAAGTTTCCATGTGTCATCAGGTTCATGGCTGTCTCATCCAATCTAAACTACGGAAGTGTTGAAAAATAGTGCTAACATACCTTTCGTAGTCCATGAATAAAACACAAAATGATATCCGATGGTAGTGAAAAATCCCATATGTTTGTGATTGTTTGAAATCAACTAACAGTTCGTATAAAAGTTCAGTGTCACAAACATGGATATTCCCCACACGTCCCTAAACTACTCACACAAAACATGCGGAAAAAACGAAAACTGTAGCTTATTCAGTTATGTGAGCATGGCAAAACACTGATTTCTGATAATTATGATCGTTTGACGCAGTGGCTGATAGGGTTAAATGGCTGACTTTGTGTGATTGCGATTAAGTACCTAACACAACAAACATAAGTATTGGTTCTGTACTTTTCTGACAAAGTGTAATCCCAAATACATGTGATACATCAAGATTTTGCATGAAGTATGTTTCTGACGTATGCTGCGTCCCGAAAGGACTATTACTGGAAAGGGTAGAGTGGTACCACATGTTTGCGTAAGAGTGTGGCCGAGCATTGTTGGCCATGAGGACTGACATTGTATTCAGAGGATGTTTATAGAAATGTTTCCTGAGAAATAGCTGGTGAATTTACACCAAAATGCTTTACAAATCGACACATGCCGAATCTATCAATGTCTTAATGGCAAATATCATGACTACTTTTCATGACAATTGATTCGCAGAATGCAATGAGGTAATGTATTTTTTCTGTAACAATATACAGTCAAATCCCGATGAGTCGAATCTCTGGGGACCAAGTAATAAATTCGACTTATCGATGTATTCGAGACATAGGTATATCTATGAGGGTAGAAAAAAAAGATGATCCAGTCCAAATTCCTCCGCCTAAGCATTTGTTTATCTAATGATTTCCCTATCACTAATAGGGGCACCTTATCAGTTCCAGTCTGATTAGCACAGACAGTGATTTCCGTAAAATCACTAATCTGTATATTTTTTAAAACATCCCAAGTAACACACAACTGTATCCACAACACAGACAAACATGCACCAGAAATTATGACTGTATAATAACACCATCTAGCACAAAGAATTTTCTTTAAAATGTTTGTTTATGTGTTCACTTAAGAATGTAATTATATAGCCGAACCACGCGAACAGCGTGCACGTTTAAACATTTCAATAAACTTACAACACTCGTGCCCAAATATCGGTATATCCCTCGCTCTTGCTCGGGAAATACCAACATTTAGGCACTCGTGTCGTAAACATAGTATGACATAGGCACCCATATATTATCCTCTATTTAGGCACGAGTGTCGTAAACATAGTATATCATGGGCACGAATATAATATTCTGTTTATTACCGAAGTCGTCAAATTGAGGAAAATAACCCAAATCTACTTTCAAACATAGGCTGTCTAACCGCCGTCGCCGCATGTAGAACGCAACGTCACAGAAGAAACGTGACGTCATAGCATTGTTCATGACGTCACGTCACCATTACAAAGTGACATTTTGCCCTAGGGCATCGTATGAAAAATATGAACCCCGATATGTTCGCCCTCGTAGGTAATAAAATTGTTTACAGACCACTGTCATGCAGCTATTGATGAGTGCGGTTTTAAACAATCAAACACGAACTGTCCAATTCATGATACATGGTAACTTGCCTTTTGAGTTAATATTCATTCGGTCGCTCCCCCTGAGAGGGTGTACATTTTTTATTTACTATTTACAATACGTATGAATCTGAATAGTAATCAATTCATTCTATATGTTTTAAGAACCCAATAACTATATGAGAACTGATATTAAAATGATCCTTCAAGGTTAAAACTTTGAAATAGTTATTCCTTGTGATGGAAAAGCCAATACAGTCAAGCTGACCGTGATTCTTTCATCACAAGGGATACAAAACGGAGGATCCGGCTCTTTTAACAAATATCCCTGTGTATATCTGCTGTGGCCAATACGGCATCGTGGCATGATGGCCTCTTCAAATCTGGACAGTTTTACGCCGCACTCAGAAATATTTCAGCTATATGGCGGCAGTCGGTAAATAATCGAGTCTGGACCAGACAATCCAGTGATCAACAGCATGAGCATCGATCTGTGCAATTGGGAACCGATGACACGTGTCAACCAAGTCAGCGAGTCTGACCACCCGATCCCGTTACAAATGCATGGACGATTGGTCTAGATTCGCTGAAACGAAATTGACTCCCATCGAATCAGTTTATGGTAACTTAACCCAATCAAACTAAATAATGACGATTACAAGCACGCCCTCAACGTATGGGACAAACTAGGCTGTAAGACTTTTGGCGACTACCACCATCTAAAATTGAAAAGTGACATACAGTGCCTCGCCAATGTATTCGAGATATTCAGAAAAACATGTTTGAATTAATACGGCCTTGACCCAGCATGGTATTTCTCGAGCCCAGATTTATCTTTGAATGCATTGTTAAAAAGGACCGATGAAGAATTGAAATTAGTGATATACTACCATATGCACAAGGAAAGTATATTTGACCAATACTTATCAACATCTTTGCCGCTGTATCGCTCCTTTCACTTTCCAATATCCCCGTTGGCTGTAGTAAATTGTATCTATTATTTATTAACGATATTTCCCTTTAATACACCGTACCTGTATGCATAAGTCGTTATACCATCATGGCAATCCATCTTTTCGTATCCATCGGCGACAATAATTATATCTCGTTCAACCGTAAACCATATATCCTATGCGTGTCACTTCTCAGTGTTCATTTCGTGTTTGAGCTGTGAAAGCTCTCGACGGAGTTGACACTGCGCTTATAGCACCTATCGTGCTATGAAAATAGCGTCGGGGATCTTGGGGTTAACGTGAATAGCTCTTCAATTTATTTCACGCTGGTCGCAAAAGAAGGCATTAAAACACATCAGCTTTCGCGTTCTGGCCAAAGAGATGTTATATAACATTGATGATCATATCTCGGCAGCACTATCCGATAGTAGAATACCCGAAGACGAATTTCGTTTAGTGGTGTCAGAACTCCCAAAATACAATGTGATGAAACAAGTGATTCGAACAAAGACACGTAAAACCAGTGGCATTAGTGAAGAGGAGAAAAAAGTTCATGGAGCAAGGGGCAACAAGCCCGTCAAGCATTCCTTACCAAAACCAAACAAATAGTAGGAGATTAACGATGATTTTCTAGCGATAAAAATCCGTACTGACTTTAGGCTTTTGTAGGGGATTTATGCAAGAGGAATAACCCATAGTACCCAACGATATGGCATTATCACACCCACCCCCCATAGATGGATTACGCAATGAGAGAACGCAAGTCAGTCACCTTTCACCCCAATTCTGCTCAACAACCCCCACCGAAAAAAAGGTTAAATATTAAGCGGTGCATCATTTGGTCCGTTTTTTGTGCGGTAATTGTGAATGGCTCACGTTCTCTCATTGTGTATACTACTGCAGAAGACTACCTGTCTGTAAAAAACTACGATGTGAGTTCTCATCTTCAGTATTTCCAAACGGCTTATCCGAAAGATGCAGTCATTTGTTTCCAGGGTCCCTCTTTCACACATTACCGATTCATCTCATGGGTTAAGATAGTGCCAATATACACATTTGTCCTTCGCACCTTTGAATCAGATTCAAACGTCGATCAGTGATTGTTGTGTTTTATTATTCATAGTAAAGTCTCTGTGTTGAATGTCAAACTGCCTTACAGGTTGAAACAACATCCGGTACTGACCATGCTGCCAAGCCAGGAGGACAGTGGTGCAGGAGTTCCTATGACGGAGGTTTCTGGTCAAGATGAAAACAGAAGTGAACCCACACGGCAGAGAGAATCATGGAACAAACATCTGGACTACATGCTGACAATGGTTGGCTTCTGTGTTGCATTAGGAAATATTCTGAGGTTTCCCTATATCTGCAACAGAAACGGTGGAGGTAGAGGTGTTATATCTATATATTGTTTTGTGACAGTAGATCATTGATAGCTATTTCTGATGATTGGTATAACTGAATGAAAGGCATGTGATTTCTCATGAACTGCCCCACTTGTTTACACCAAGGGATTAACTCCTTAGCTCCCATTCTGGGAAAGAATACCTTGTGTACAAATTTGATCTACCATCGGGACTTATTACCTATTGTAACATAGCTATCCAACAAAGGGTCACTTTACATTTTGATTCCCCCCTTGAACTAAACTAAAAACTTAACCGGGAATCAATCTGTAAAAGAACCAGGTGTGAAACGATTGTATCCTAATATTGACTAATCAATACAAATGTATCACGATGGCAGTACACATTCAAGGGGAATACAATACAAGAGCAGTCATTGTGGCAATAGGGAATGTATCTCGGCCTGACAGTGTATAATGATCATCACACACAGTGCTGATCTTCTAGTAACTTGATATGTAATGTGGTATGAAAAGCAATAGTTAACTATCCTTATATTCCTTAGCAAAATATGCTGGAAAGTTCGACACAAGGTCAGATGATTCGGGAATATGCTCCTCATAGCCTTTAACAGATCGTCCTGTCTAAATCTGGTACAAGTGTTAATATAGCACACCCCTGCCCCTCTCTGAATACCACATGTACACGGTATTAAAACAACATCATCAGCCACACAGTAGATGGGTCCCGAGCGAGAGCCGAAGTCAGTTGTACTCCCTTTAATAACTCATTGTTGTTCAATACCGAGAATTTACGGTTACACTACTTTGTTCCTGCCACATTGTCATCGTAATCCTTATCATGCGCGTTTCAGTATAATTTGTAAATAGGGCTGCATGCCTAAAAGGCAGGAGATCTATTGTAATCGTTAGAATTAGCTCTGTATGCCTCCTTTGCATTGCAACCTGGGAATCGCCTGGTGACATCATCAACAAATGGGGAAAACATTAGCCCAAACCCAAAGAGACAAACAAACCCGGTTAATATTTAAGTGTTTGTACTTGATAAAATCATAGCTTCAACTGAAAGGAATAATACCGTAATGGTATGAGGTATATAAAGGTCAACGGCAGAAAATAAATAATTTCAATTATTCCCAAAACCAGATTCCAAAATGACCCAGAACAATGCCTCTACTCCGTTCCAGTACGTCTTTTTAGTGTGGTACATATCTATTGTGCAACTATTTCACCTTTTCAGTTAGTTCGAATAAATTTGATATTGTAATTTACAATACATTCCACTTCCTTACTTTATCAGATACATTTGAATTTGAGTCTTTATGGTGCATTATGGGATAATGTTTACCTTGTTTGGGTGTCTTTCCCGGTAAATCAATGAGCGTACTGTACGGGCCAATGACTCAATTTCAATAAATGTTGTCTCGTCTTCTGTATCAGTGCACACTAATCTCCCCTTTATACACTGGACCTTGAAGGTGTGGAACGTATGGATGTAGAACCATCATCGTCTTTTATCCGGGTCATCCAATTAGTCTGACATTGGACACTGATGCTACCATCAACATGGTATGTGCGTCATTCGCCACTGTCATTCATCTCCTTATGTCCAGGATACAAATAAGAAGTAACAAAACTGTCAGATATTGCTCGACACAAAGACATGTTCTTTACTCTGTACACCCTGCACTAACTTAGATAATTTATGAAGTTTCATTCAGTGTGTATGACTCAACCATTCCGTGTCCAACAGATATGTATAATAATAGTAATAATAATAGTGTTGCATATTATTTATCGGATGATCCTCTGGTGATGCATGTCAAGACTCATGATCAAACCAAGGAATTCCACAGCTATGTTAAGTGTGCTAAGGTTGTTGCACAAAATCTGAAATTTTAGATTTTATTGATGGCAATGTACTGGTGGACGATACAACGATGGAAGTAAACCAGGTGAAGTTATTCACCAAGTCTGCCCAGAGTCGGTCATTTGTGGAGAAGCTTTCTGAGAAACCATTGTATCGTGAGTACATGCTGTGTGTGGAACAGAACAGTAATCCCACCGACTCCTTCGCCTGGATGAAGTCGTCTGGTCTTAAATATGAAACTGAGGACTTTTTTAGCTGCCTAGGACCAGTCACTTCCCACTCGCAATCGCTAAAATTTGATTCTTAAAGAAAATATCAATATGAAATGTCGAATGTGTAATGCATGTACGGAGACATTCCAACACCTTGTCATTGGATGCCTTCCTTGGCACAAACAGCATGTCTTAAAAGACCTCGTTGTTCCTACTACCGTTTCCGCATTGCCTGTGTTTACTCTGAGGTCCATCCATGGTACGACCCTGAACATGTACAGGGCGTCATGGAAATGATGCTTTTAAACTCCTTTGGAATAGGCCCATATACAGCCTCAGAAGAATTCCAGCCAACAAACCTGATCCTTTTTTACAAACCCTTTTTTATAAAGCCAATGAATTTATTTATATCATTGAAGTTTTTGTCCCTTTGACAGCAATGTGATTGGCAAGATTCAGGAAAAGCATGATAAATATGCGGACCTCGCCTTTGAAATGTCTCGCTTGCATCCCAAGTACACTGTCTTCAGGCTCACCATTGTTCTCGGTGTCCTTGGTTTGATACCTCCTGATCTCTTGGCGCAGATCAGGAGAGTGCCCGGCTTTTCCACCGGGAGCACAGCCCTTCTGACACTCTGTGTAATGCAGAAGGCTGCAGTGTTGGGGAGCCTTCATATTCTGCAGAAAGTTTCTTGTGGGTTCGACTAGGCAGAGTTTCCTGGGAGAAGTCCCATTCGCTGTATGGGCAGCGTGTACAGGGGGCAAGGGTCGTGAGCTGATGATGAGCCTTACCAGCCTGATTTGCCAGGATCACCCGCACCCTCTCAGTTGCACTTTTATCTTAATCTGTAAGATATAATAATAATAAGGTTGCTTATATGGCACTTAATTCCATATACATGTATGCTCAGAGCGCCACAGGAAGAGTAGAAAGCACATGTCAGAGAAGCACCGGTGGAAACAAAGTGCTAGTTGAATAACAATGTTTTGAGCTGACGTTTGAATTGGGTGACATGATCTGAGTCTTCTGGCATGATGATACCCGCTGCCCAATTCGCACAAATAGCTTGGGGTTGTTCCGTTGACACATTGATAGGTGAGTGTCAAGACCTTGAACAGGATTCTCTTCTGGACTGGAAGCCAGTGCAGGGACTTAAGAATCAGTTTGATGTGGCAATGCTTTGGTGATCTAGTTACAATCCTAGCAGCTGTATTCTGGATCCTCTGTAGGCAATGTATCTGCTCTGTAGATGCGGATGCTGCCGACGTTTGTCAATGTAGAAGTAGCAATTTCTGACTAAGGCTGTCACTTGTTATTCCATGGAGAGTGAGATGTCGAGATAAACTCCCAGGTGTTTCAGACATGATTAGAAGGGAATATCAGATCCATCAACTGTTATGTGGTTATATTCAAACTTCCAAAGGCGAACTGGAGGACTAATCATCATAGTCTCTGTTTTCTCGGCCTTCACCATCATCCAGGATTGCACATTGTTATGCAGGTTTCCATTGTTCTGGTGCAGTGTTCCTGAGATGTAGCATCCACACCACATGTGTCAGACAACTGGGTGTCGTCCGCGTAGAAGTGATAGTGGACACTGATGAGATGACATTACTGATTGGTCTTGTGTACATGATAAACAAAACGAGGCCAAGTACAGAACCTTGGGAACACGCAGTTTAGACCTTTTGAGTCTGAGTTGGAACCATTGATTGTAACATATTTGAAACGATCGGCGAGGTAGAAGCTAACCATTTCAGGACCACACCATCAAAACCACAGTCACTTAGTAGGCGTGGGGTTAAGATGTCATGGTAAATGGTGTCGAATGCCGAGGACAGATCGAGAAGTACCAGCATTGCAAAGTCACCATTATACACGATGACCCCTAGATCTTTTTCAAGGCAGCTTCAGTACTGTGTGCTGCTCTATAAGCCGAGTTTAACTTGCCAAAGTGGCTGTGTGCATTGAGATTGGGCCCTGTTTTGATCAGATTTGGGACAGGAAAAGCAGGTTGGAGACCCGCCGGTACTTTTGCAGAGTTTGGGGATCGAGATGTTTTCTTGATGTGGGGTTTGACAAAGACAGTTTGGAATGTTTTAGGCACAATACCAGGTTCAAGACTCAAATTGGTGACGATCGTGATATCTCGCAGCAGACTGCCAATCACTTCTAGAGGTAGTTTGGTGGGTACTGGATCTATAGAACATGAAGTCGGTTTTGAGCTCTGGATAAATTTGAAGGTGTCATCTTCATTAAATTGAAGGAAACTGTCGATAGTTGAGCTGCATGCAGGTGTAGACCGTGTCTCAACGGATGTGTTTCGAAGGGATCCGCTGATGTTTGCTATCTCATCATGAAAGAACTGAACAAGCGTCTTGGCGAGACTGACGTCAGCACAACAATGATCTGGAAGGATAACGTCAGTTGATTTACCCATACAGATGGTTCTATCAAGTCACAAGGAGTTGCATCTATTCCATGTGAATCAACATGGCAAAACATAACTTGCTTATCATAAAAAGGGATTTTGTAATTCTATGCTAAAGAAGAATCCAATATATTGGATGAGTTGGGAACGTAAACACACTGCACCTTTAAATCACTGCACCTTCATCTCTATCCCAGATCTTTAGTGAGAGTAGACTTTGAGTTCAGGCCTACAAAAAAAACTCTCCCAAGGTTCTTTCTCTGAAGACAATCCAGTGTTTTGATAACAGCTGGCAAGGGCAGAATTGGCCACATTAATAGAAAATCTCATATTCTCTTGTGGTCCATGTTTTCGCATCTTCTCGACTTTATTTAGTTAGCTCACCTGTAAGACGCTTCTTACGATATCCTGATCCATTCTAGGCTAAATAAAGATTACGTGTTCACAAAACAATGTTACATCATTCATACATGCGTGTTATACGAAGACAAACAACACAAGCCCATCAACACTTTACCTACTTCGCTGACAAACATTCAGAAATAAATATAATAATTTGAAGCTTATGCGATTACCTAAAACTGGAACTACATATTTTTTCCAGGAGCTTTCCTCATCCCCTTCATCCTGCTCCTTTGTATCACTGGGTTCCCATCGTTCTTCGTAGAGGCGACCATCTGTCAGTTTTCTGGGAAAGGCGCAAAGCAAGTTTGGAGCTTCTGTCCCATGCTTAAAGGTCAGTGTCTAATTATATAATCATTGACTATACAGGATCAGTATCTAAGTGACGAAGTGATGGTTCTATAACTACTGATTATTTCTATGTTGTCACCTTCATGAGTGCTACAATGTGTAGACATATCACTATATACTCTTTGAAAGGTAGCAAAGGGCATGAAACGTTGTTACAGAATGAACACTATTGCAAGGGGTTGTTGAACCATCTATGAAACAGTACGCTACCTATCTTAGCATGTCCAACAGTTAGGTAAGGTTTATTATCTGAAAACAGGATTGAATAGGAACTAAATTACCAAAAAGACAAAGGTAATCCTATTTATCCGAATGGATCTAGGTTACATTTAGTCAGTAGCAACGTATTCTGGTTGTGAGAAGCAGCCATTAGAGTAATGACATTAGGTTGTCAGGTTTTGTTTTATATTTAGGGGTTGGTGTTGGCTCTCTATTGATGAACTGTTTGTACATGCCCTACTACACCCTCTTCCTGGCCTGGTCCATCTACTACATGGTGAAGTCCTGCTCCAGCGTCTTGCCCTGGACAACTTGTGGCAACACCTGGAACACCGACCTGTGTGTGGAAGACGAGAATACAACCTACAATAGTAACGGGACAAATATGGCAGGGAATACATCAGAAACTATCACCTTATCGGAGCATGGGGAAAATGGAACTTTGGCTCGCACACCTGCTGAGGAATTTTTTCGGTGAGATATACACTACCAACAAAAGGAAGGTATCACCGACTTCACTTGACCCACAAATAGAAACAAAAACGTATGTGAGATCTATTATATTTATTTTACAAACAGAAATCGTTTTCCAATAATGCAACTGAAAATGCATTGTAATGCTAGTATTGCACTTGCCACAATTCATTAAGATAGAGTCAAGGGATCAAAGCACACAAATCAGAATCCATTCAAAAGCTTAAAGAGTCAAATAATGAGACAGAAGTCAGGGGACACGACATCCATATCGAACATGACCACCGTGGGCATCCATACACGCCAACACACATCTCCTCATTGACGTCGTAAGTCGATGAATGACGACAGCAGGAATCCTTTTCAATAAGTCTGTTCAAGTTCCTTCCGGTAGCATCCGTACCTCCTATACTGTAACATAGGAGGTACGAATGCTACGACAAAAGTTACAAGATCTTAAGCTTACGAGAGCTTTGTGAAACGGGGCCCTGGTCCTGTTGGTCTCTGGCCACAAGTGTCGCCCATACCATCACACCTCCTCCATTGTAAGGATGGACTTATTGAACGCAGTTTGGTGCCAGTCGCTCTCCTCTACGTTGAAAAACTCGAACTCTGACTTCGTTTCTGAAGAAAGTGAACCTACTTTCATCTGTAATGACCACTCTGCCAGTCTTGTCGCTGCAACCGACGAACAGTTCATGTCAATTGCAGTATGTGTTGACAGTGTAGACGGGTCAAGGTCATTGAACGGAAGTTGTCTAGGACTGTTCGTCTGCTGATGGTGCTGTCGCCGTCACGAATCTGTTCCGGAGGTGGATCTGCTGGATGTAGCGGTCTTCGACCAGTGTCGTCATTCCTGGTCTTCCCGATCTTGGGCGGTACTGGGTCTGGCCTGTTTGCTGGTAGCAGTTTATCAAATTGCAGTTGAAGGTTCTTGTCAGCTGGCGTTGCAAAATCCCTATAGTGGCCATACCGATCGTTGCTCTAGCGTAAGTCTTTGCATATTGTGGTATTTCTTTCTGGTTACTGCATGCTTGCTCTGTCCAACAAACTCTGATTATATAAGCTGTGATTAGATATAACAACCGTGATCTTATGCAGAAGAATTGGGACACCCAAGTAGGTATCAATATATTACATGCAATGAACACCTGCTTGGGTAGTCAGACCAGAGGTTGAAGGTTGAAGTGCCATAAAGCTAATATCCCCCTGAGAGGCTATGCAAGTCCATCTGCCAGTTTTTAATCGTAGTATATGCGTTACTACAATTTATGGCCAGATTCGTCTACAATTGCTGACATCTGAAGGGGTGGTTAAATCCAGCTAGGATCCATGCAGGAAACAAATGTACTGTAAGTCCCCATGGTCCCAAGTATGGTGATATACTTTAGTTGTTGGCAATCTACAGCCTGTTTTTAGATTGTTTTGCCATCTATAGTTACAATGTTTTAGATTTAATTACTAGTTTTACATTTATATCTGCGTCTTCTAGCTGTTTTTACTGTCCTACTGGCAGGTTCATAGTATACCTTTACTTATTACGAAATTATTATTAAAATCACACACTCCTACCTCGTTGGGCTAAATATATGTGGTTTACACATCTCACCGAGGGAGATTATTTGGTCGATGCCATCTCCACATTTACCTCAATGATACTTAAAATAGACTATGTCTTAGCTTCTGCACATTTATTTGACAAAGTGCTAGATTTTGCTATACCTACTAAAGCAGAGTCCTCTCACCTCCCGTTAACCTTAGATTTACGTGCGCATCACCCACCAGTACAGCCAAAGACTATGAGTGGTAAATATAAATCTGATCATGAAGCATACAAATTTGTTTGGAATAGCAAGATGTTGTCGCAATTCAGAAATAATCTACTATCGGATGATATACAAGACTTATTTGATAAATCTGTTGATGTAGCATTCACTGATATAAGTCAATGTGTAGATTATGTCGTAGAAGCATTGTGTCTAGCTGCTTTTGATATGAAAAGACGGATACGCCCCTTTTCAGAAAAACATAATACGAATATCTGGTATGATGAAGAATGTAATCATTTAAAAAAAGAACGGTGTAAATTTCTTAACTCCTTCCGAAAAGATAAAACCTGCAATCCCTGGAGAGATATCACAAAGCTAGAAACAGATATAATACAACCTGCAAGGAAAAGAGAAAGGCATTTATGGAACAGAAAAGAAAAAACCTAGAAAATAATATAAATGATGCGAAAAAATTCTGGTATGAACTTAAAACACTAAATCCTAAGAAAAGCCAAAATAATAACATTGAAATCGACGAATGGTTCAATTACTTTCAGTCATTATTCTCTACCTCTGATAACAACCCAGATCCAAATCGACAAGACTATGTGAACGATACTGAGTCTACTCATTTTTCAGGTGTAGCCTCCGACATATTGGATGCCCCAATAAGTAGAGATGAAATACTTAACAGTATACAACATCTAAAGTGTAATAAGGCACCAGGATTAGACAACATCCTCCCGGAATTTTTCAAACATTCATCTGATCTTTTACTTCCATATCTTGAGCTTATTTTCAATATTATCCTCGACACTGGGAACTTTCCTGAATCTTGGTCAGTTGGCATTCTTCTCCCAGTCTATAAACAGGGTGACCCTAAATATACCAATAACTACCGTGGAATAACTGTACTTAGTATATTTGGCATGTTATTTACTTACATTATCAACAAAAGATTAGTTAAATGGACTGACGTCATGGATCAGATATACGAGGGTCAAGCGGGCTTTAGGGAGGGATATACAACAACAGATAATATCTTTATACTGTATAGCCTAATACAAAGATACCTCAGCTCAAAAGGTGGACAGTTCTACGCACTATTCGTTGATTTTGCAAAGGCTTTCGATTCTGTGCAGCGGGATAAACTATGGAGACTTCTACAATCGCACGGTCTTAGTAGTAAAATGAATAAAATGTTGAAGAGTATATACGAAAATGTTAAAGTGTGTGTAAGGAATCAGCATGAATTATCTGAACCTTTCATTAGTGAACTAGGTGTTAGACAAGGCTGTATTTTAATCCCTTTCCTTTTACGTTTTCATTAATGAATTAGCAATACAAATATGTGACACATGTACGAATGGGATTCAACTACACCCAGATACAATACAACTATTTCTGCTACTCTTTGCCGATGATATTGTACTATTCTCTAGTACTGTTAGCGGTTTACAGAAACAAATAGATGAATTAGACAAATTTTCTGACCAATATAAATTGTGTGTAAACAGAGACAAAACCAAAATTATCGTCTTTAAGAAAGGTGGAAAGCTCTCTAAATTAGAAAAATGGTATTATAAAGGGCAACTACTCAAAACTACCAGTGTTTATAAGTATCTTGGTGTATATTTTTGTAATAGCCTTTCCTGGTCCAAACACACAAAACAAGCGTCAGCACAAGCCTTGAAAATCCTAATCGATGTTTGTAAAAATATGAGATCGTTGGGTGAAATGTCCTTTAACACATTCTTTAAAATATTCGATATGAAGATAAGTCCAATACTTCTATATGGCTCTGAAATATGGGGATTACAACAATATGACAGTACTGAAAGAGTTCATTTATATGCATGCAAAAAGTTTCTTGGTGTAAAACCGAACACATGTAATAGGATGGTTTACGGAGAATTAGGTAGATTCCCCTTGTTTATATACTCTTCCATTAAAGCCATAAAGTATTGGGTAAGATTACTGCATATGCCATGCCATAGGTTTCCGAAAAAATGTTATGATATGATGAAATTGTATGACGAAAATGGGAAAAGAAATTGGGTGAAAGATATTAGGGAGTTGTTGTACAAAATTGGTTATGGTTATGTGTGGTGTGATCACAATGTTCAGTTGCATACCAATTTTATCATATCATTTACACAAAGAATGAAAGATATCTATTTCCAGTCTTGGTCGGAATCACTACTTCTATCCACAAAATGTTTATACTATAATCAATGGAAATCGGACATACGTTTTGAAGACTATTTAGCAAAACTCGGCGTAAAGAAGTTCCGTATAGCTCTCTCTCGGTTTCGTTGCTCTTCCCATGAATTATTTATTGAAACTGGCAGGTATGCAGGTATACAAAGAGAAAACAAAATATGTCAGTTATGTGATATGAGTACTGTTGAGGATGAACTACATTTTCTTCTAATCTGTCCTGTTTATACGACTCTACGAACAAAATACCTAAAGCCATACTATTATAAGCATCCAAGTGTAAGAACATTAATTTCACTATTAACAGATACTACCACATCAATATTACAGAATCTGGCAATGTACATCTATTTCGCTATGAGATTAAGAAAAAGTATTGTTGCAGAAAAGAATTTATAAATGACTTCTATCTACTCATGTAAACTCTAAATGTACTACAGGCCTGTGCCCTTTTAAAGTACTGAAATAAAGATTGATTGATTGATACTTAAAATGACTGTCCTTTTTCAAAGGCATGAATCTGACCTACGGGATACCATAACAAGAATGACCTTTTATGCGTTTCGCTCACAGGTGTATATATAACAAGACTGCCTTTAGTAATAATTGTAATTGAGATATTTCAGATGTATACTCGTTCAATTTAGACATGCTTGACCAGCCGAATGTTGCATCCGATATGCGCGTCAGAACACATAATATTACATACATCGCCCATACGCTGCTCTATGTCAAACTAACATAGCCAATATGTGATTTTCAGGTACAATGTGCTGAATGTCTCATCTGGATTGGAGGACGTGGGAGCTGTACAGTGGCACATAGTTGGATGCCTGTGTGCATCCTATGTAATAATCTTTATATGTTTAATTCGTGGAATCAAGTCTTCTGGTAAGGTAATTCTAATGAAAAACATATCCTGAATTGTAATATGAGACAAATCTGTTTGCGATGCATCGTGTGTTGCAAATGAATATGTGTAGGGTGAAAAACCCAGTTTCCCCCACACCTGTTCCACTGACATCTTTGCAAGTCCAAGTTTGATACCTTCTGGTAGAGTGAGTGAGTGAGTTAAGATTTTAAGTCACATCGGCAATATTTCAGCCATATCGTGACTAAATCGAGTTATAAATATATTAACAATTAAAGGTAATTTCTAAAATCATCAAAGGACAGTAAAACAACTTGATATAAATATAAAATCAGTAATTAAATCTAAAATATTTGCTGTTGTGACTATTAATCTTAATCTATGATTCAACTTTCATTCCGTTATCATAACGTACATGACTACGAAATAAACACGAACACGAAAGCTTGAACACGAAAACATAGTCACAACAAAATGGAGTTGAGGAAATACCATCTCCAACTTTCATGGAGACCTTGTACTGATCAGTAGATACTCGGTAAAGTGATGGTTTTGTGGCGTTAAATTCATAGTGTATGAATAAAACAAGAAATAGGACAACCGAAGTAAGAAAACATCCCTAATATTAGACAGGGACAAACATGTGAGGATTTGTTCCTGACTACAGGCTGTGTATGTGACCGCACTCCTGCCGTACGTCCTCCTCGTCTCCATCTTCATCACAGTAATGCAAGAGCCAGGTGCTCTAAATGGTCTGTACCACTACGTCATCCCGGACTTCAACAAACTTCTCGATATACAGGTGGGCAACCAGTTGGGTAGGATGTACACCAAGTAACCTTACTAACATCACTTGGTCATAACAACAGTATCATTCAGATGGAATTGTAAATATAAGGTATCTTACAAATCCCCAGACACTAGCATTTGGAGTCAGTCATTACCAGCAATGTAATGTGCCGTCTTTGGAAGCCTATATTTCCCAACACAGAGGAGTAAAATTGGCATTATTTTAGAAATACAAAAAACGCAGAGAAAAGATGGTAACATATTCCCTGTCATATTGCTACTTGTCTGTGATTCTGAGGAAGACATACTGACTGTTGATTACTATTCAACTGAACTAAATCATACGTGTAGACCGGACTATGAATTTCATGCCTACAGGTGTGGCTTGAAGCATGTTTGCAAGTGTTCTATTCACTTGGAGTTGGCTTTGGGATGATTGGCACTGCTGCGAGCTACAACAGCTTCCATGAATCATGTCTGAAGTGAGTAATCAGCACATCCGTGCAATTGTTTAAGCAGCACCAACTTAACCAGTCACGTAATGCCCAAAGTATGTGATTATCTTTAATAGAAACCATGACTATTTTTTGTCTCCAAACGTAATATTTGTTCGACAATAAAAGCAGTCCAATATTAAGAAAATGTGATCATGATTTAAACCTAAGTCATAACGGTTTCTTGCTTGGAAAAGACATCATCAGACCGGAAGTGCTTTGAAAAGAACAAAGCTAGAATCATTGGATATTCTGTTTAAGGTGTTATTGTAGTAGAGAGGCAAACCCTCCAATGCCCGTAATACAATCACAGAGAGTTGTTCTGCGTTGCTTTATTGATGAAACCTGGACATTTTCCAGAAAACTAATAATAGGGATTTTTACGGTTATCTCGAAAATATGTACATGTGTACATTCACAGAAATTCCCTCATACTGACAATAGTCTCCGAAGGAACCAGTATCTTCTCTGGCCTCGTGACGTTTGCTACCCTCGGGTTCATGTCACAGAAAGCGGATGTTCCCATTGAGACTGTTGTGGCAAATGGTAGGTACCTGATCTGCACTGTTCAAGTACAGATAATTTAGCATTTTCTCTGAATTTGACAACCACTGAATAATAGGAGAAGTTGTTCTTGACACGTACGTTGTTCCTCCTACAGACATTGCATGTTTATAGATCTATTTTAAAACAAGTCACCTCAAGGCTCATAGAAATAGTCCAAGCAAGTTCAGTAAGTATTTACTGCAGATCTATGATACAAGATAAATATCATCTTCCAGAAGGCATGTATGTTATATACATTATTCATTTATACGTATATACTTTGAAATACGCATTACCGATTTGAGGAAGAAAAATAACATAGATAGCAATTTATCAATGTTAATAGTTTCTAAATGGCATGGTGATTATGCAATAATTCCCGGACAGAAAACATGTGATGTTGCCACTCAGGCTTAGTGCAGTAGTTCCTAAAAGGTTGCACCCCTGTCAACAGAGCCAGTGTTGTGTGTGGCCTCCATCGGACCTGACACTAGCACGGATATGTGGTCAAATCAAGCAAGTTGGCTGGTGGTGGCTGACATCGTTAAGCCCCTCTCGCCAGTTCATCCAACAAATGTGTAATGAGGTCCGAATCTGGTTCATAGTCATCACACCATCCATGAACCGTGAAAACTTGTGTCATTCTTGCTGCATGAGGACGTTCATTAACATGCTGGAAGAGCAACTGACGTTGGGGTCGTTGGTGACGTCGCAACAACAACATCTTGAAATTCATCCCCATGGATACCAACGTCATTTGGGTTGCCTGGGCTTTTCCGTGAACATTCTCTCAGATTTCACATATACAAATAATATAAATGTTTGTCATTTAAGCAATGTCACGTTATGTTAAATTTTTGCCTTTCCATTGAAGGTCCTGGTTTGGGATTTGTAACTTATCCAGCAGCTTTGGCCCAACTTCCACTTCCTCAACTGTGGTCATTCCTGTTCTTTCTGATGCTGTTGATGGTTGGACTGGACACACAGGTACTGCGTGGTCAATAGTATCTGGTACATTCTTGACTCAATATTCAGCTATACCTTGACACTCGTAAATGGTTTATAACACCAGAATCGGAAATCTGAGGTCATGGTTAATTATATCCTTGCAAAGAATTACATCAGTTTTTCAGGTGTAGGTTGTCTTTGTTGTGGGCTTCTTTTGTCCGTCACCACATGGATCTTTTTGGTTTTTCACCTTTCTGCCGGTTTAAAAAATATATCATCTTGCCGTGGAAGAAGGGTAGGAAACCTACGCAAACAATTTCCCAAGTGTTCTAGCCTTAACATATTGTTAGTGTGAATGAGATTAGTTAAACGGATCTTTGAACAGTATTTCAGTGATATAATCCGAGATGAAGTAATTCTCACACGTTTGCCACTTGAGTGAAACCAATGAGCGCAGCTAAGGTGCTGACACATCTGTAATTCCAATAGTCTTTCCAGAATTGTTAGCAACGAATAAGCGAAATGAGTCATATGTGAAGTATGGTCACTCGCGTCCCCGATAGTTCGAGAACTGAGACAATCATTGTTCGCCATATCTCAAGCAGCAGAGACATGTGTGTTCCTAAAGCTGAATACCGGGAACGACATGGATTAATATTGATGTCCTGAACAACTTTACCAACTCACCAACCGACTACGCGTACCAAACATTATGAAGATAAAACTGTAACAGGGGTAAGGAATGCTGTGCTGAATATATTGTCAGGAAAGAAACGAAAAAGGGCAGAAACGTGACAAAAAAGTCCGACTATTGGACCAGGTTGATCAGATATGATCATAAGATGTGAATGTGGATGTCAAAAGCTATGCTCTACTCGTGACTGACCCAGATCTTGTACTACCGCCGCCCAAGGTAGCTACATACAAGGGTACCTACCCATCGACGTGAAAGAACTCATCAACGCCAACCTCACCAGAAATACTGGGTATATGGACCAGACAGTGTGCACGACAGATGTCCAGTTTTTATTTTGACACCTCAACAACTAAATCAAATCATATTTCCAATATCACCAAAATATGATTTTGTGGTTGTTCTTTTTTATGCATTGTATTTCCCTCGTAATCCGCAAGCTGAACAATTAACTGTTGTTCTTCCAGTTCCTGGCAATTGAAGTCCTAGTTTCTGCTCTCATTGATCAGTATCCGCGTCAGTTGGGGACGAGGAGGATGCTGGTAACAGGAGGATACTGTCTGGTAGTGTTCCTTCTGGGAATCATATTCTGCACACAGGTGACTTGTACAGATCGTAGTCTTAGTAAGGTATAGATCACGTAATAGTACACCTCTGTGGTTAAAGAATGTGATGAGATTACTAACACAGTCAGTATAAGCAGAGAAAAAATTACAATTTTAGTGATATTATCCAAATCCTTCTTAGTCTCAAACCAGTAAGTTCGTATCGTCTTCTTAAGAGTTTGGTGAAACCTCTCTGGCCCTGATTTCTCGAAACAAACTTAAGTCTGAGTTTTGACTTAAGTTAGAGTTTTTACTCAAACATGAGAAAACGCAGGAAAATGCATTGGCCAGAATGAACTGAAATCGAAATTAAACTCAAACATATGAGAGAAGTTGTGTTTTGTTGATAGCTTAATTAAGTTGTTTGGGCTTTTATATTTTAGAATGAGTTAAAATTCAGCTGTTTCAAACTCAGTTTGAAATTTGAGTAAAAACTTCAGTTTGTTTCGAGAAATCGGGGCCTGAAGCTTTCTGACATTCATTAAGTTATGCACTAGGCTTAATATCGCAAGTGACCCGTGAAGGTCCGGGTTAGAATGTACCTTTAGCAACCCATGCTTGTCATAAGAGGCGACTACCGGGATCGGGTGGTCAGGCTCGCTGGCTTGGTTGACACATCTCATCGGTTCCCAATTGTGCAGATCGATGCTCATGCTGTTGATCACTGGATTGTCTGGTCCAGACTCGATTATTTACAGACCTCAGCCATATAGCTGGAATAATGCTGAGTGCGGCGTAAAACTAAACATACTCACTAATTTCGCAAGTCAAAGTAAGAATGGAAAGAAGCATGTCTATGTCCTGAAGTAGCAGAAAATGCGGGTGGAACAAGTCAAAGTGGAGAGAATCCTCAGTCATGAACATTTATGATGGGAGCATGTACGAGCATTGTGGATTTGTGGTAGTGAAGCGTGAAATTGTTATAGAATATTATTAGTTCAGGCAGTGGTTGTGAAAGTAATTGTAGTGGCGCAGTGGTTATAGTATTAGGGTAGTAATTAATAGTATATATTTCTTTAAGGTAGAAAGAGGCTTACCTTGTATTGCAGTAAACAGAAACAAAGTAATGCAGCTGCAATAGTGTTCCACAATGAATAACACTACCATATAACAATACAGATGTCCTTTATATTGCAGGGAGGGCCGTACATGTTTCAGCTGGTAGACTGGTATGTATTCTCCCTTGGACCAATGGTGATATGTACTCTGGAGTGTGTTGCTGTGTCATGGATCTATGGTGTGTATGACAACCGGATTAATAACAACTGTGTAAACACAAGTTCTGTTGGAAATTGAAAAAGTCGGCTTCTAGACCTTACTTGTGATATTTATGAGAAGATGATGTACAGTAGCCTGTCGAAAAAACACCTCCCGCCCCAAACGGAAACCAACGGTAAATATATACTAGGCGTCATTAATAAAGGGTCTCATGCTAATATAGCTCATGTAAAGAAACGTTTCTCAGAAATAATAGAACTAAGAGTGTCATCATAATCTTTAAAATGTTAACTGCTGACAAACGTGACATACAGACTAAAAGTTCAAAGGGCACAAGCAAATATCAGTTGTAAAGACCAACCCCCAAAATGAAAATGAGTAGCATGAAGCACTCAGACATTCAATATCTTGTATACCCTCCTCGCGCGTCCAAGACACAGGTGCACCTTGTTCTCATGATCCTTATGAAGTTCAGAAAGAAAGCTTGCGGAATCGCATTCCATTCGTCTACTGGAGCTCTGCGGAGTCCTTGGAGATCCACTGGTGCTGAGATCGACCGAGTTATTCCCAGGCATGCTCAATTGGGGTGAGGTCTGGCGAGCATGCTGGCCACTCCATCTGCTCTACACCCTGCTGCCTAAGGAATTCCGTGACAATCTTGGCCCTTTTGAGGCCTAGCGTTGTCGTCTTGTCGTAAAGAGGGTCGACCATAAAAGCCATGCATGGCTTGCAGGAATGGTACAGCTAAAAGAGCCAGAATCTCGTCCCGATAACGCAGTCCGGTAAGGCTACCGTCGACCACGTGCAGTGGAGTACGTCCAGTAGAATTATCCCTGCCCAAACCATGAGCGATCACCAGTTATGTCGGTTATTCGTGGCCACAGTTGCATCTGTGATTCGTTCTTCATTGCGACGATAAATCCTCTGCCGGCCATCATGGAAGGACACATAGAATCTACATCCATCTGTGAAGTGCACACTAAACCATTGACGTTGATTCCAGCGGTCATGATGTCTACTCCATCTCAAATGGTGTTAGTGGCGGGCGAACTGCAGGTCGCCTACAGCGGATACATGACCCGTTTTATTGGATAACAACTCCTTATTATACGTTTCAGAGCTAATTCTTGCTCCTTCATCAGGTCATGTATTCATGTTCATCCAACTTCTAAATGCCCTTCAAAAACTACCTACAGCGGAGTTCGGCTGGCGAACGTCAAGGAACGGTGTTCCTGTCTGAGGATCTGTTGCGTTAAGGAATCTGTTACGCAATGCAGTGTCAGTCATGTGCCTATCATCTCAGACTGTTGTGACACTGGGGCAACCTGGTGGACGTGTATAATCTATGGACCCTTTTGCTTGAAATCTATGCCACAGTCTACCAATAGCACTCTGACTCACATTAAATCGGACAGCAACCTGCCGCTGAGTTTGACCAGATTCCAAAAGGCCTATAGCCTGACCCCTTACAGCAAGTGTCAAAACACGTCTCTTCTTAAGCTGCGATTTCATCAGGTTACTGAACAGTGAACGACAGTCAAAAAGCATCAATGCTTCAAACTGTGTTGAATTTAGAAGACAAAGTTACTCTGTTTTCGATTTTGCGGTCCTTTATCGTTGATTTGAGACTGCTAAGATTAATTTAAAATCCCAACGCTTTGGATCCCCCCATTTCAAAATATTTAGGAGTTGTAGGTGATTCCTAACCCTGGAACCTTGGTTGGAGACAAGATCCGTTCGATGTACTTGGAATAAAATTCAGTACTGATCTCGACGAAATGACTGACTTGACCTATGACAAAACATTTAGAAAATGCGAAACCAGCATGTGTTCATGAGTTTCAAGAAATTTGACACCACTTGGGCGAAGTACCATACTTAAATATCTTATTCTTCCCAAATGCAACCATTTATTCTCATCTCTTCCAGATCCACCAGGTATAGGTTTATTAGGCTTTTTATGAAAAGTGTTTCGCGTTCATTTGGGAAAATAAACTTGACAAAGTAAGGAGGAGCCAGATTATTTGTGAAACATGAGATGGGGTATAAAATGCCCCAATATACTAGAAATAATCCAAGCACAATAAATAGAAATGGTACGTCGAGCATCAAAGTCA